TTAAGTAGTACACATAAGTATATAAATACAATTTTACACAGATCTCATTTTTTATCTTTTTCTGCAAGTGTTCAAACTTGGTATTTATGCCGGTATTATTCTTGCTTGCAAGCTCAAAACTGGTATTTATAACACATATAGCGCACATTAGAACAGACACCAACACAAACACATGTTTGATCCTCTTTGTAGGTGTTCAAACTTGGTATTTACATCACATATAGAACACACACGAAGACACACATATATCGATATTATTCTTGCTTGCATGCTCAAAACTTCAAGTCAAAGAGGGGTAAAAAGTTTGAGTGATAGTTGTTTTGCAATGAGGGTTCTAGTATTTATAGGGGAAAATGAACAATCTTTTCGAAGAAGTGTGGATAAGCCTGGCCGATTTATGAAGATTTGTTGATACATACCATTCAAACTTTCTACGGTAGATCATTATAACTTTTACTCCCTCCGGTCCTAAATAAACTTCACACTTTGAGTTCACACAAATTAAGGAAATAAATTTGACTTTACTGTAGAGTACATTGTTGTGATACTGTGTGACACTATTTTACACTGTTTTGCATTGTTTTGATGTAGATAATTTACCAAATAAGGGAGAAGTGTGAAATTTATTTTGAACCTACCAAAAAAGGAAAGTGTGAAATTTATTTAGGACCGGAGGGAATATTTTCTTAAAAATTTTATCTCATGTATCCATGTACACCACTTTACTTTAGGTATATGCATGGGCTTGAAAAAACAGTACAAAAAAGATTTTGTTTTTATATAATAGAAGATTTTATAAATTTTCAGATATCAGAGATTGAAATGTGTCAATATAAGCTAAGAATGAGGGGAAGTTATCTACCAAAGAACCGGAATATCATAGGTTAATTGCCTTTGATATTTTTTAAGAATTTTTCTTCACAAAAATTCATTAGTTTCATAAAACAGTATAACAATTAAATTTCAAAAATGAAAAATTAATGAAATAATTACATATTTATTACTAGAATAAAGATGGTTTACAAAAATATAACTAATGACTAGAGTAGTATAGTAATATAGTAATAGTAACTTATGTTCATCTTTTAAACTTAAGTTACTAACACTACATTTTAGTACTATTAGTTATATTTTTGTAAATATGTTTAATTTGAGTAATGGTTATCAATTATTGTAAGTCCCCGACATATAATTGGTCTATCTTGCATATGCTGATTTGATGAAATTTCTTTAGACTAAGTGTGGAAATTATAGAAAGCTTGACATAGGATTATAGGAAGCTCTGTGGTGACACAAGAACCAACCTAACAGTGAGTATTAAGGACTGCACCAATCGCAACTCATGGAAGCAGACAGTAGGCTTCAATTCTAGTCTAGACAGATACAATGAAATGGAAAGGGAAGGAGCAATGATCAAGAGTGATATTAGAACCAAGAATCAATCAAAACACTAAAATATATATATCAGTCTTGGACACATAAGGGCACGACTTCAATTAAAGGGTATGGATCGATATTATTCTTGTTCCATAATAACGGGCATTGCACCTCTAAAAATGATCTCCATTGTTCCACTACCAAAACGGTTACTACAGCTTAGAAGAGTTTAAGAGATTACAAATCATCAACAACATCATGCATCCCCACAAATAAATTCCTCTAAGATGAGGCTGAAATGAAGTTACTCATGCAGCACTCCCAAGATGTCTTCATCCCTGAACAAATGAAACCTGCACAAATCCAATGTCAGAAAACCTCAAGCCAAAAACATCATGGCAACAATAATAATAATTATAGCAGGTGCAGCAAGTATTACAACACTACTCACTCTTTATCATCCAACTTCACTTGTGTACCGCCATAATCAGGCAAGAGAACAGTGTCGCCTTCCTTGACAGCAACTGGTACATGCTTCCCGGACTCGTCACGCAGTCCAGGACCCACCGCCACAATTTTCCCGGTGTTCAACTGCAATTATAGTTTTGTCAAAAACAATGAACAAATGGAAAGTAAAGAAACGGACGAAGAACAAATGAGAGGCGCGATCATATCCTAAATCGGAACGACTCGGTCTCAGTTCCACATGAGAAAAACAAGCATATGGAAAATCTGAGCCTTCGAACTGCCCCAACCATTATTCATTCATCACGCAAAACAAACACAAGATCAAGCGAAGTGGGAGACGGACCTTGGAGGATTTTTCGGGCAGGAGAATGCCGCCGGTGGTCTTAGCCGGAGCGTTGATTTTCTCAACCAAGACTCTGTTGAGAGTTGGGACAAGGCGCTTCCACGACATGGCTGAGATAGGATCGGCGGTTGGTTGTTGATTCGTTGTAGCAGGCAGGAATGGGATTGTGCAGATGTAATGTAATAGGAGGGTGGAAGGTTCTAGGGTTTAGGGTTTCTGATGTCCCCAGCAGGGATGGAGGGAGGCTCAACGCATCCTTATTGGGTTGGGCCCTAACGGCTCTACCATTTAATTCTTGGGACGGATTCACGCACCCTTCTAAACCTATTCCATTTGTATACAATAATAGAGTAATAAAAACACAAATGCTAAAGCTATCTCAATTTGTACCCCTCCTATGTTTGTGACTCACAAAAGCGCATCATTAAAATGGAACAATTAATTTAATTGAGTTGGGGGTACAAAATGAGGTGACTCTGGCATTTCTCTAATAAAAACACTTCAAACGTTACAAATCAAAATCACACTCAAATAGACCGTCTATGACTATTAATCTTTTTGTTCTTTCAAATATCTGGTGGTTACTATTGTTACACTTGAAAGTTACCATAGTATTCATTCTTATGAGAATTGAAAAAGAAATACAGTAGAGCGGTATTTCTTTTTTAATCTAATTTAAAAAAAAAAAAATTATCATTTCGTGACCTGTATTGGTGCAGTAGAGCGGCACTTAATATGCTCAAGATTCTTTTAGCATTTACCGCGAAAACCTCATTTTGTTGGAAATACAATAGTTGCTTTTAACTACTAAAAGTATGTTAACTTTATTTCATTTTGGTTATGGAAACTCAAACCCGTTTCTTTAATAATAATATGCATTTGGAGATATATTACTAAAAAACAGGCAAAATATGCCCAAACAATTAGAATTTAAAAAATTATATCACCTAATTAGCTCAATGTTTATATTTAATCAGAAATCCTATCTAACGGAACACTATATGATCGATAGAATGACAATGACTGTTGAGAAAAAGATGAATTTTGCCAAATGAAATCAAAATTGGGTTCATGTGACCATTGTGACGTAGTAAGGCAACGAATTTTGATCCAAGAATTCAAAGGTCTAAATCCTTCCGTCCCAAAACTTTAATTGTGGTTCCTTATAGAATAGGTACTATACTAAAGTCACAATACCTTTCAAGAGGTGACTTGTCCAAGACGCTAATCAAAGTTTATTTGAACTGAACTTTACTGGTATGATCTGGTTTGAACTAACCTCATAAAAGTTTGATTTCTATGTATTTTATTATAATTATGCAAATCTTGTTTGATCTAATCTGTTTAAGTAAAAACAGATTAGAGCTAAAAGTTTGGAGCCAAATTACCTATCATGATTATTAATGCAAAAAAAACTCTTGAGCAAGACTATTTAGAAGTCAGAATGTGGCACATTTATATAATATCACCAAATATTACATTACAGGTCATTTTTTAACTATTAATCCAACTTCACCTTTTTTTAGCATCAAGTAAACCAAAAATCCAACTTCAGCTTTCACATTAAAACACTTCTATTTCAAACATTGCCAAGTTTTACTATTAAATAGATTCTTCTATAATTCTTAAAATAAATCACTTTAAAAAACAGCAAATACAAAAACCACCTTAAAACAATGAGCTTCAAAATATGCCATGACAATAGAAACATGGTGTGTAACAGTGTAAGTGACCCCCTCGTCATCTCCTTCAGATCCGCTTCAATTCTCTTTAAACTGAAAAATAATGTACTTATAAGACGAAATAGTTACGCTAAGTTGTATTTTAAGTAGAAACAAAAATAATAAAACCTCACGTTTTGTTTTCGACAAAACTTCTTAGGTACTAGGTAGAACATGGATAACAGAACTATATGCTTTGGGACGTTGGGTACATCTACAACGTTTTAGTACTTCATACATACTACGGAGTATATGACACCAATGAGCCCATTTGGCTAAATCTAATGAATTTTTTGAATGGGAAATGTGTTACAGAAAATGCAGTTTAACTTAAGTCGAAAGACAGTAATTATGGTGTTGATAAACGTAGTAAGTCGGAATCAGGCTATCAGAGGCAGTTACACACACTCATACTTTTCATGTGCTATTTTGAATCAACTACAGAGTATAATTTGTGTGGTTACTAAGTGCCACAACAACCATATTCTGAATGATTCATTCTTCACCATAACAAACAATCTTTCCTCTCCATAGAAAGTCATACGTCAAAGCACTTCAGTTCCATGTGCCTTGACCTAAAATGAATAAAAATGAAGTTGCTCTGATACAGAAACTAGTCTCTTTAATAAGGAATTATGACTCATGTGAAAAAATTCAATTTCATTATATATTGGCAGCTACATCATTTCCCAAGGATGTCACAATGGGTATCTGTAATGATGGCTTCTGCAATTCGGCTTTATGGAAGTATGACCCGATTAAAACGGAGCTGCTTCATCATTTAACAGCTTACTTACAGAGTTTCACCTATGTTGTTCGCTAACTCGACAAGTAAAGCTTTTTGTACAAAAAAATATGAACAGTAAGAATGTATCTACTTGGTAAGTGGTTCTTGTGCCTATGAATTTTCCCCAAATTGACCCGCATAATCCCACTAACCTCTTCGTGGGCCCATCTAGAAGCTAGGCTCTAAAACCTTTCACTAGTGAAGTAACTGATGCTCTGTTCATGAATTCATCATGAACTATATATAAGCATTATTATGATTATAATGATAATTGTGTATTTGTATATGTTGTCCTACATCCCGAATAGCCTTTGACGGTAAGTGATGCATACTTGGGAACACAATGATCAAAAGAGCGGGAATGTTTCACACCCTTTTGAGTTCAGGAGGATCACTAGTTTAATAATACATAATTTTATAATGTGGCAAGATCTTTCTATTAAGAATACTTTGATAAGTCGTAACGTCACATTTTCCCAAGAATTATGTAGCATCATGCCCACAGGAGAAATATAGTAACATTGCATTACCACGGATGCTTCATTACAAGGGCGTGCTTATACAGCTGAAGTCCTAAAATTCCAAGAACCAAACCAAGTCATACCAAATATCCCACTATGTCCCACTCGGAAGAAAATTTACCTCTACCTCATGAAGTAGGAAGGCTGCTTCTATCAACGCCCTGGCTTAGGCAGAAACTGGGAAGTTTTAGGCGATATTTAAAATTAAGGACAGTAAATAAAAGCAGATAAGTAAGCAAGCAGAAAAGAATAGAAACCTAAAATCATCTGCCGATGCATGTTTTAGCATTTCTTTCCTCTCCCCACATTATCTTTTCTTTCAACTTTCCTCCACGGGTTTCTTCCTATTTTTCTTTCGCTAGTATTTTAAACATGCTAATTAGCACTCTACCTTGTTCTTTTTTCTTTTTATCTTTTCTACTTCTCAACTAATATTCTCTATATTCACATTATAATCTAACAAATTAAAGAGAAAAACATTATTCAAGTCCCAGAAAAACAAAAATATTTCAGAAAAAAAATCACAACTCATTTAATTAAAGTATCATTCGCAATTAACATGTACCAATAGTTAGAATTACTACAAAATAAACCATAACTTTCCATTACAAATTCATAAACTATATCATTATATATGTAATATAATATATATGGCTGGCTGTGTTTTTAGTCCTTGCAAAAATAGTACATTTTGTTTTAGGTCTATGCAATTTTTTCATTCATGTAATTTATGTTGTTTTTCTTTTTATTCTTTTACTGATCATAACAATCTCCTTTTGACAATAAGACAACCCTAATTAATTAGTTTAATCTCATTCATTGTCATGCCATTGAGAAAAATATAATTTTATTTTTTGGAGATTGTTAAAAACTATTTTGAGAACGTGAAGTCATGAATAATTTATAATATATTGTTTTGACTCTCATATTAGCCTCAAAAAAATTATAAAAGGATGATTAAAAATTTATAGTATAGTAATGTGACTGACATTAATTTCTTTCTAAGCTGATTGATCTTGGGGTTAGAAATAGTCTAAAAAGAATATAATGCATAATACAGGATGAACAACAGAAAATTTGTTTCAAGGGATGTAAAACAAAATATGTCAGGGCTAAAAAAGTATTTGAGCCTATGTACTTGGTATATTGTAAAAATTGCTACAATGTCTAGGATTCTCACCAATGCAAAATCCCTCCTTTTTCACTTGCTCTTCACACTAACTCCTTCCTTTCCAGCAATAATGACAGCAGTGGCCATATCCAAGAACAAACCATGCTCCACCACGCCTTCTAAGGCAGAAATCTCCTTTCCTGCAGCATGCGAATCCTTGATGGGAATCTTAAAATACAAATCCACAATGTAATTGGAATTATCAGTGAGATAGGGCTTATCCCCATCCAATCTCAACACTGCTTCGCAGCCCAAATCTTTAAACATCTCTCGGAGCCTGAGCAGATTGTATTTCCAGCAAAATCGGACCACCTCAACGGGCATTGCCAGACCCGACCCGCCAAGCCCAGAGACAAGCTTGGACTCGTCAACAACCACTACGAACTTATTGGACGCAGCCTCCACCATTTTCTCACGGAGGAGAGCGCCTCCACGACCCTTGACAAGGTCGAGATTGGGATCAACCTCGTCGGCGCCATCGATGGCGAGATCGAGCTCCGGGTGATCGTCGAGGGTTGATAGTGGGATGTTGAGGGAGGCGGCCTGTTCACGGGTGCGCTTGGAAGTGGGCACGCCGACGATGTTCGACAGGTGGCCGGAGGAGAGGAGCTCTCCTAGTTTGGCCACTACAAAGGCGGCAGTGGAGCCGGTGCCGAGGCCGAGGACCATTCCGCTCTGGATATAATCCACGGCCTTGTAGGCGGCGAGCTTCTTGAGTTCATCTTGCGTTGAGGCAGGGGATGGGGCGGGGGCGGAGAACGCTATGAAAGTGGGGCGGCGGCGCACTTTGATGAGTGATTGGGTTTGGGTACGCAGCATATAGGAGGCATTTTGGTGGTGGATGCAGGGAATAGGTAAGGTAGCCATGGAGGAGGTGGATGCTTACTTACTTCCGGTCGGTCTCTAGTGATCCGCTTGTTTACCAGATAACAATAAACCTCTGCTCTGCTGCTCTCCCTCCTTCCCCAGGCGCCCGGTACTCACTCCTCACGATTGGATTCGGGATGAACGAACATTGGGTGGGTGGGTGGGTGGGTGGGTGGGTGGGGTTCATACCCCTTCCAGTGATTTTCATCCAGCGGAAGATGGAAAACTTATTAAAAAAAACGACGAGGCCCCAAATGTTTTTACTTGTACCGTAATTCGTTTCAAACCAGACCAGATCAGACTTTGATAGTTACAAAAATATAAAGAAACCAGACCAGACCAGACCAGACCAGGCCAGACTAGACCAGACCAATTCAGATCAGACCAGATCAGACCAGACCAGACCAGCAAATTACAGTCCAAGTAAAAACATCCTAAATTGGAGTATAATCCCGATCTCTCATATTCTGATCGCAGTTGAGAAGATTCAAATCCGGGACCTAACCCTTGTGTCACTCCCTGCTACCAGTTGAGCTACGTCAACTTATGGAAAACTTATTTCAAATACTAGTATACACTTTGTACACACTTCTTTTGCTACACACTTTTACACATGTGTGTAGGCTTTTTTTCCAACAAAAATGTATTAAGGGCCTACACAGACTTATTAAGGGATTATCTGTTAGGACTCCCATGTCCGGGATGTCTGAAAAGACTTATCATGCTAAAGCTAAAATGTTCGGTATTATTTTGACAAAACCTATTAAGGGCCTACACAAACTTATTAAGGGCTTATTTGTTAGGACTCCCATGTCCGGAATGTCTGAAAAGACTTATCGTGCTAAAGTTAAAATGTTCGGTATTATTTTGACTAAAATGACTGATTAAATGTAAAATTACCATAAAGGCTATTAGCTTATTTGTATTAAATTATATATATATATATATATATATATATATATATATATATATATATATGGGAGGGTTCAAATACAAAGAGGTCTTCACATGCAAAGTGAGAATTAATCTCGTGCGTTCATTTTGAGATCTAATGGCTCAAAATGAGCCAAAAGTGAACTAAATTTGATCAAAAACGCGGTGGCAATTTCGTAATTAAAACGAAGTTTTTTGCCATCGCGAAAAAGTGCAACAGAAACACGCAAAAGTGCAATGCGGTGAAGAAAAAGTGCAATTGTTCGCACTTTGCACGGGAGAATCTCTTTTTATTTGATCTCTTCCCTATATATATATATATATATATATATATATATATATATATATATATATATATATATATATATATATATATATATATATATATATATATATATATATATATATATATATATATATGGGTTTGAACTTTGGTAGGAAAACTTATTAAGGGCCTATATGTTAGGACTACAATGTGTGGAATGTCTAAAAAGACTAAATTTGTTGAAGTCAAATGTTTGGTATTATGTTGACTCAAATGGCTGATTAAATGTAAAATTACCATAAAAGGTATTAGCTTATTTGTATTAAGTATATATGGGTTTGAACTTGCTAGGAAACTATTTTTACTTGATTAATTGACTATAAGACTACTTAATTAACTAATTATGTTGAAAATTTTATTTTTACTCTTATATTGAATTTTATATTGTTTTATACAATTACTTCCCAAAAAAGGGGTTTTCAAATGCGCAGCATATTTATTATTTTTTGTGAGTAATATTAGTAAATTAATTATAAAAAATACACTTCCAACAAAGTATGTCAAAAAGCCCACATGCATTTAAATTAGAATAAAATGAAACATAAATACTAATTGGAATTCATTCCAAGATAAAATGAAACATAAAATAGACACAAAGTACTAACATTATTACACCACAAATTATAATGTTTAAAAATGTATTAAGGAAATAAAATACATACTAGAACACATGCAGTCGACATACACTATCACCGATGTTGCCTCATAGTGCATGCCAAATTTTATGTAATTTCATCTCGTAATGCAATCATACGTTGAGAACTTACACCACAAATCTCATTCAAAGGCATTTTATTGGGTTCTGTGTTGATAGAATAATGCGATCTTCTGGAACAAAATCAAGGGTTGTTTTAAAACAAATAAAAGCGGGATCGTCATTAGAATACCACCGGATGAAATTATGAAATTACTTTCAAGCTCTCACTACTAAACGATTGATTATTGCAATGCATTTGCAATAATTCCTTTGAGCACCTCAATATAACTTATATCCGGTGTGAGTGTGTGACCACTTTGCAGAGACTCATGAGACTTTCCAAAAAATTGAGCTTGATGTCAACCCATCTAATAAGCCTTCATTTGTTGCACCATAGACAATGCACCCCTTCCTCCATTCTCCCAAAGTCTTTCGTTCCACACCATCCAAATTCTCCAGCAAATTAAGATCATTAGGCTGCATTTTTCCCTAGCGAAATGGAAACAATGACAACCGATGGAAGGAGAGATGAGACTCTCTTTAGACCTTCAAAATTGTAGACAAAAGCAAAGTATATAAATAATGATGTTGCTTCTTCTTAAAGAACTGAAAGAAGACTCATAATGCATATCTTCCTTAATCACCACTCCCCAGACCAACTAAAAAATGAAATGATGTTAGATACCTGATAAGAACCGTATAGCGAGAAAAGAGTACACAGAACAAGTCCATGGAGTAATTCAAAGCAAGTAAGTTCCCATCACAAAAGAATCAAACAAGATAACTCAAGAGAGAATACAATCAACAAATTGCAGCTATTGAAAGTATAGCAATACTATGAGATCATATATGATATGATGTTGTTGGCAAGCAAAGGTAGAAATAAATGTTTTTCAGTAATCAAATCAGGTAAACATGGAACTGTAACCAAGATGACTGAAACATACCTAATTATTTATTCATTGAATAAAAGCCATTGTGAGCACGACAAGACCCTATTGAAGTTTACAAGTTCTGAAGCTGATGGGACACATTCTCTTGGTTAGCTAGGAATACATATAGAAAGGCAGAGCTGCAATTTGTTTACAACAGGAAATGTTGGGTTAATGGCCCGATAGTAGAATGACCCATAACCCCTTAACGAGGAAACCGTCAAGGGCCAATATGGGCAAAATCCAACAAGGAACCCGGCCAGACGTTCGTCTCCACAGAACGAACGTTCGGCTTCAGCACCCTTGACCCAGTGAGCCAGGGGGTGATCCAGGGGCTACATAGAGGACAACGAGCACGGGCCGTGCGGAGTCAGCGCCTTGTGCTGATACACATTCGGAAATCAAGATATTGACGGGAAGTGCATTTGATGGTTGGCAACTTATTCCCTCTAGCAATAGCAATTATCTCTGGCTCTTCTTACTGAGGTAGACAAACGGCCTCTCCGCTTGTAGTTGAAGTGTGTTGTATACGAACCCTTATTGTCATTTAATAAGATAGATCTCACTTACTACTCTTGTTATTGACCCATTTTACTTGCTTGCATCATACATCCATTAAACTCTCCACTCGAAATCCACATGAATGTGTTGGGCCTTTGGGTTGAAAGAATAAGCATCAACACTAGCACCGTCTGTGAGAAGTTGATCTAAAAGTTTCCAAAACAAGCTCACCCAAACAGCTCCTAAAGAACCTTCTAAGCAAACGAGATGGCAAGAAACAACTCTGGACGTACTCATGACCTTTAATTTCCAAACAGTTGGCAAACAGGAGGAGGACACGCGCCCAGGTGTTAGGTGGCCAGTCTAGTAGCCTGTGGAATCATGAAGGTGACGGGGATGTCACCAACCTAATCCCCCTCAAGGCCATAAGGGACCCTCGCATCATGAGGGAACTGGCAGAAACCATGCGACACATGGCAGGCGAGCAGGATGCTGAATGGACCATATACACTGCGAAAACCGAGCGTACACCCTTTTCTCCCATCCGTTACATGCAGCCATTCAGGGAATGAACATGTGAGACCGTGGAGTCTCGCACGTCGGTCCACACACGGATCGACGGGACCCCCCACTCCCCGAACATGGGAGGCAAGGAGGGACCCCCCCAAACGAGGGTAACAATTTGCGGTCCGAAACCGCACCCCGGTGTTGTCGCGCAACGATCACCGAGACAAGGAACCAACTCCCATGGTAAGTAACGTGGGACCACAGTTCCAGTGTGTGGAGGGACATGACGCCCGCTTCATCCAAAGACAGCCCGATGCAGATGCTATCTGCACGGAGAATGCTTTAGCGGTCACTAACCTTAGGGTCTCGGTCACCGACGCAAGGGATGAGATGCTTGCTGGTATTCAGAGACAGATCAACGAACTCAATTGTCGGACGGAGAGCAATCCAGCGTAGCCTAGGATCGCGCTCACTTCACCATTCTCGGTGAGGATCATGGTTGCAAAGATCCCTCAGAACTGTAGGCTGCCAGGCACGCTGGTCTACAATGGGATCGGGGACCCGAAGGCCCGCCTGCTCACCTTCTAGGGTGGGCTCACCATGCTAGGAGCATCTAACAATGCCATCTGCAGAATGTTCTTCAGCACCCTCTGGGGCCATCACAGGAATGGTTCGGGCAGTTGAGGCTCGGGACCATGAACAGTTTTGATCAACTGTCTTGGCAGTTCATGGTGCAGTTCACGTTTAGCACCACTTCGAAGAAGCACTTTAGCTCGCTGACGAGCGTCTGCCAGGACAACAGAGAGTCCCTCTCCGCCTTCCTTGTCTGGTGGAGGGACAAAACTTTGAAGGTCAAGGACCTAACGGAGTGCACCTGCATCACCCTTTTCACCAACACCTTGGCAATCAGGGATCTATACAGAGATCTAAAGTGGAACCCCAGAACCAGTAATGCTAAGGTGTTGGCCCAAGCGCAGAAATACATTGCGATCGAGGAAGAGATTGTCCAGAGGGATAGGGCGCCAACCGCAGCAAGCTGCAAGATGGAGGATCAGCTGGGCCCGAGACCAGGGGAGTCCCCCTCATCAAAAAACAATAAGACGAGCGGCGGGTACACCCCATGGGTACACCGCGGCCCGACCGCTGACACAAGGCGGGAGGAGGGTCCCGAATACACCCCCTAGTGCTCTCGCTGGCCCGGATTTTTGAAAATATCAAGGATCAAGGGATACTCGCTCCCCCCAGGGACAAAAAGAACCCGATGGGCAACCGCTCAGATACTTACTACGAGTACCATCACAGGAAGAGCCATAACACGGATAATTGCAATAGCCTCATAAGGGCGATTGATGACCTCATTCGGAAGGGGCACCTCAGGGAGTACGTCACAGGGCACCACCACCGCCCCAGATGTAACCATACAGGAAGCCTAACACGTGGCATCGGGACGATCAACGGGAGGGCGAACCCTAGGACGTGGATTATCGTACAAGGGGAGCGGACAAGCGCCCCGGGGGCTCCCTCGGCCCTCGAGGCAAGAAGAAGATGGAGATCAAGGTGATCTTTGGGGGAGCGGAGACCGGCGATACCCAACCGAACGGAAGAAATTCGAACGGGCTCTTTACGTGAGTTCCGTATCCGCACCTCCCACGAAGAAGAACAGGATCGAGCAATCACATTTGGGCTTGCCGATCTGCCCAGCTCCCTGGGGCCGCACAGGGACGAACATGTCATTAACATGGATACCAAGGACACCATTGTGCGGCGGGTTCTTGTTGACACATGAAGCAACGTCAATGTCCTATACTGGGACGTGTTAATGTAGTAGATTTGGTGGTTGAGAACTAGCCATCCACAATTCTCCACGTCAGCAGCACTACCTACCCCTTGTTAGTATAAACAGTAACATTTATTTCATTGTAAGGGTTGACAACTTAGCACTCTTAGCAAATAACAATTGTATCAGCTCATATCACAGAGGAACGACCTCAGGGCTTTGTAGTGAAGTGTGTTATATACGGATCCTTATTATTATCACTTAATAAGATACGACTCATTTTCTACGGATATTTTGACCCACCTCTTGCTTGTTTAAGATCATCAAACTTCCACTCGAGATCCAAAGGAACGTGTTGGACCTTTGGGTTGACGGAATAAACCTCAACAGTAATAATCACTACGAGCTCATTTGGTAACACGAAAATCGGCTGATTCGATTGATTTTGCTGAAATTTATGAAGTTCTTGTTGAAGTGGTTGCATTGGTTGATTCTGCTGATTTAAGAAAAAATATTTTAAAAATATATTTTATTAATAAAATAAAGAAAAAATTATATGTAAAAATAGTTTGAATGGTCATCTGCCGTAACTTCAGTCATTACAGCTAGAAAAGTAATTTAGACTTTACTTTTTTTTATTATTACGAAATTCAGTACGAGAAAACAAATTTTACATCTTTGTGAAAAAATTGGCTCATAAGTAAGCCCAAAAAATAGTTTTAACAAACTGCATCTACACCTATGTAAGATAAAGTTTTCGGTTTTACGGTAATAGGGAATAAATAGTTAGTTTTTCCTGAATCCAACTATTTAGAACAATTGCTCTTTTCCCTGTGCCCTTCTCTCTTGCGCCTTGCTTGTCCATTCATTAAAAATGTCAGCCGAGTCCGCCTCTGCTATTCCGAAAGGCCAAGTATGGATTCCGTTTTCCTTCTCTCAGTTTTTCTTTTTCTTTCTTCCCAGAAATTTTCTACCTATAGATGTTATATGTATACATGTCTATATATGACTTGCTATGTTTGGATACTTGGGTGGCATTGAACGGCTATGAACACAAACAGGTTGATTTGCTGGACTACATCGACTGGTCTGGAGTTGAATGCCTTAACCAGAACAGCACCGATTCCCACTTCAACGCCCTCAAGCAGGTAGTAAGACATATACCTGGGCGGCATTATATTTCTCGCCGAAATTGAGGTTTCTGTGTTTAATATTTTTTCGTGGCAAAATTTTAGAAAAATGGCTTCTTGTTCTTGATGCAGTATTGAACCTAATTTCTACATGATAATTAATTTGATTATTACCCTTGTTTCTTTTGGCAATTTCCTTGAAGTTCCCTGCAATATCAAGTTTAGGGAAGCAACCTTGAGTCAGGGCCAATTGGCCAACTAATACAATGTAATGGGAAAATGGAAATGCCTCAAGGCTTGCACAGTTGCACTAGAGGAGCAAGAAGCCCTGCTCCAAACACAAAATTCATCTTTTTTTCATTAGAACATGATTCTTTCGCTCAAAATTAACCTCAACATATTTAGGTTTCTTCAAGTGTTCCCTACTTCCCCGATTTCATCATCATTTTCATTTACCCCAGTGCCACAAAGGCTCCTACCTACGGTGGGGTAAGGGGTCGGATGTACGCAGTCTTACCCCTGTACTAAAGCACAGATAAACCGTTTCCGGATGACCCATAGTGAAAATCGCGTCCAAAATTGCATGGATTGACTGCTGCTCCATAACAAAGAAGCGCAAACAGTTTAGTGAGCCATTTTGCTTTATTCCATCATAATCTCAAGCCAAAAAAAAATGAATCCCTACTTCACTGATGCGGAGGAAAAAATACCATTTCATAAATTCCATGAAAAAGGTGCATGGAAGAGACCAGCTGGTTGTGAGGTTATCGTGCCTAGTGGGAGGTCTCGATTTCGAAACCCGCTAGGCACCTAAGGGTTTGAAACTCAATGGAGTGAGTTTCATCCCTAATTACTCCAGCCCCTTAGGCCCCTCCCCCAGACCCCTGGAGTAAAAAAAAAATTGTATCACACCTCATAATATATTTAGTTATAAAGCCTTTAAAACTTGATAGGTGCCACAGAAGCGTTGTTCTACCTATGAGTTGGTGTGCAAGACCAAAGTAGCCAAACCTAAACAACCTGTATCATTATGACTAACTAGAAAGGGAAGTTTAATAACTGACCCTTGCAAATGCATCCTTCAAATGCTTGACACTCATGGACTATATACCACAGTTTAGAAAGATGCAAAAGTGGAAATGGGGCATAACTGCGTAAGGCCTTTCTTAGGCTATTCCTGTGGATAGCATTCTAACAGGCCACCTTGCTTCCTAGAAAGTGACTGCAGCTGTGCAACAATGTTGTTTGATATATTGTTCGGTAGTTTTAATAGTTTGGGCTCTCTTAACACTTGATGGATTTTTTTTTTGTTTTTTCATATGATATCTTAGGGATACAGAGAAGATGAGGGTCTGAATCTTGTGAGTGATGCTGATGAGCAGCTTCTGATTTACATACCATTTAGTCAAGTTGTTAAACTTCACTCTATTGTTCTCAAAGGTCCTGAGGAGGAAGGTAGTCATGTCCTTTACACAATTCTTATAAAGATTATGCACTAGTTTTCATTTGTTTTAAGTATTTATTATTTAATCATCAAAATGTATTTGCTAAACTACTCCCCCAATCTTCCAATACACACACAACCTCAATTTAAGTCCATAAAAAATATAAAATAAAATAAAGAACGGGGGACACTGGTAAGTGATTGATTTTTCTAAACCTGACTTTTCTTCCCTGCTTAACATTCTTTAACTGCATTCTAAGTTCCTAACTGTTATTTAAATTCAGGGCCTAAAACAGTGAAGCTATTTTCTAATAAGGAACACATGGGATTCAGGTGAGTTTGAGTTTCCAATTGATGATTTTATCTTTGCCATAAAACATTTTTTGATGAGAAAGTCTATTAATGTAGTTGTTTGTTAATTTGGTTAACCTCCGCAGTAATGTCAATGATTTTCCTCCAAGTGACACAGCTGATTTATCTGCCGATAATCTCAAGGTATGTTCAATATTGAGCAATAGTTCTTTTTCTTAATTATGAATACAACATTAAACCCATATGCACGTCGTGGCATTAGATTTTCCATAAAATGATGGTATAATCATCACCATTGTCATTGTTCTTATTTTTATCTACTGTCTAAATTTCTAATGGCTGTATGATATTTGTAGGGAGCACCTGTCAACTTGAAGTATGTTAAGTTTCAAAATGTTCGCAGGTATACAATCACAAATGTTTCGTTCAATGATTTGAGATATTTTGGCTTCTGATGTGCTTTAATCATGCTAATAATGTTTAATCAGCTTGACAATTTTCATCGAGGATAATCAATCTGGTAAAGATATTACAAAAGTTCAAAAGATTGTCCTGTATGGAAGAACGTAAGTTTCTCATCTTTGAATAAAAATGTAAACCTATTTCATTCTGACTTGCTCTTCGTTGTGTTTTGGTGGGGGGGGGAGCTACTAATAAGGGGGTGTTTGGAACTTATTCTGCTTCTGCTTTTTTTTTAAAGCAGAAGCAGAATCAGAATCAGTTTTTAGAAGCTGGTACCCCCAGCTTCTAAAAAAACTGATTCTAGGAGTAAATTAGAGCACCAGAATCACTTCTGCATTTTCACCCAAACACTCCAACTTCTGCTTCTGCTCCCTGAAGGAGCAAAAGCAGTTTTAAGAATCAGATCCAAACACCCCCTAAGAACCTATTCTGCAAAGTATGACTTTGTGCACAACCTTAGTCAATGAGTGTGATACTGTGATCCCATGAACTACTCAACTACATAGTCAATGAGCTATGAGCCTATACCTATTCTACTACGGAGTATTAATTACTCTATTAAAGAAATGCCTCAAAATGGTTCTTGTTATGCCCCTTTTCCTAAAAAAAAGATGACACCCCATCCCTGAGGCCCTCCAACCCCGACCAGACGGATGTAAATTGGACTAGAATCACAATCTGACAGATAGAGAGCGGGGCTCTGTCCCCGGTACTTGCAGAGGCCCTATGCATTTTTAGCATAGTAACCTTTCATCTCAGTTGACGGGATTCGAACCCGGGACCTAACCCTTGTGGCACTCCCTTGCTACCATTTGAGCTTCACAATGTGTGTTGTGGCCCATTTTCCACCAAGCTGGCTTCATTTGATTCTTTTTGGGGCAAAAGTCATTTTAGTATTGTCTGGCACTTTTAAGTTGTATAAATATCAATGCATTGCTGGGACCCAAAATAAATAGAAGGAAAGTGGAAAGTTGAAGTACGTTGTGAAAATATAGTTTTTCTGAACAAAAAGGAGTCATTTTGAAGTTATGTTGTTACAAAAAATGGTTTCTTTTTAGGGCACGGTTCTCTTGTGAGACCATCTCACGATGAAACGGTTGGCAGGCGCAATTTTTATGGGTCTAAAGCAATAAATTTTTAACACAATTTAATACTTCCATAATTACCAATGATACTCTATTACTTTGGCATACGTAATACTTTTAATCATAATTAAAAGTTTCACTCTTTGACCACAAATGATATTTGTGTCTTATTCTTCTCTAATATTCCTCTTACTTCATGGAGACATACTTTTAATGAAGAAGTCACTGCCCCCTCTATGTGTAAAGGTAGCGCTAAAAACATTCAAGAATATTTAGTATCCATTTGGTAAGACCCATTATTTTGCTTCTTGTCTACATCTTCCACCTTTTTTTCTACTTGGTACTACCAAATTAGGGATTTTTTTACTAGACGAATGATTTGTGCGTTGCACGCATGGATGACATCTTAAGGAGAGTAATAAGTCGTTGAATATTTATTTTACTATTATGTTATGTATACTGTGCAATAATGTTTGATAAAAATATATAAACAAACATAAGTCTTAATATACTCCAGTGCCTCAAAGGCTCCCTCCCACGGTGGGGTAAAGGGGTCGAATATACGTAGCCTTACCCCTGTACTAAAGCACAAAGAAAATGTTTTCGGATGACCCGTGGTGAAAATCGCGTCAAAAATTGCATGAACGGACTGCTGCTTCATTTTGTGTTATTTCATGTTCTTCATATTTTCATAGAACATGCCTTTTCACAAAATATGAGAAATATATGGCCAATACACATTGAATGATTCATAAAGATAAAAAACTCACTCAAATATACGTGTGGAAAAATAATGTATGCATAATTTGTAGATCTTTTACACCCCCATTTTTTATTTTTTAGAGTTCTTGCCTAAAAAATGAGTGTGACAGAGATGCGTATGTTGCATTGGATGTGTGCACTGTGGAGATACCAGAAAAGACTGCCTGAGGAATGAGATAATTAGTCAAAAGATGGGAGTAGCACCTATAGAAGATAAGATGTAGGAGTCTCACTTACAATGGTTTGAGCATGTGCGTAGAAGACCGAGTGATACACCTGTTAGGCGACTTGAGGGGTGGGGAGAAGAGACAGAGAGGAGAGGGAGGGGAAGATCCAAACAGACTTGGATTAGAGGAATCAGAACTGATATGTGTCTTCTTGGGTTGGACGAGAGTATGACTTTGAAGAGCGCAAAGTGGAGGGCGCACATTCGTGTGGACGATTGATCTTTTTTTTTTCTCCCTCTTCTTTTCTTTTATCGTTTATCTTCTTTGTCTTTTTATGTTCTTACATTATTTTTATCTTCTAGTTTTTTTATGCTCTTTTATCTTTTAATCTTTTATCTTTTTTATATTCCTATGTTATTGTTATCTTATATTTATTTATCTTTATCTTATTCGTTTTATCCTTTTTTTTCTTCTTATTCGTCTTCTCTTTTTGGCATCAATATCATGAGTCGTTTCATGTTAGCTGACCGCAAAATCTTTTGGGATTAAGACTTGAAGGTTGTTGTTGTTGAGAGCTCTTGCCTAAATTTCTAAAACAGAACCCTATGATTAAATATTAGTCTAATAATGTGATACAAACTCTAAGAGAGTGGGTTTAAACTCATTTGGTGACCCTATTTTTCAGATAATAAGGCTTATCAGTCAACTTTTTCACTAAACACATAACTTTGATTTTGCACGTTGAATTGTGTAATAATGAGAAAATGTAAGGTTGAAGTTATTTTTTGGTTGTATTGACTGAAGTTACTGTAGATCATTTTGTCTGTTTTTCATATAATTTTTTCTTTATTTTATTAATAAAATATATTTTAAATATTTTATTTCATATTCATAAAAAAAATATATTTTATTTCATAGATCAACAGAATCAGTCAATTCAGCCACTTCAATCAAACTTCATAAATTTCAGCAGAATTAATTAATGCAACCGATTTGGGTATTATCAAACGGGTTCTTAATTTTGAATGCAAATGCAAAGTATAAAAATTGAGGCACAAGAACTAATGACGAAATGAGAGATGGTTCAATTTGAAAAAGGTTCTGAAAAACTCCACCCCGTGAGTAATATTTTTTAGCTAAAATTTAATGTGTATTGTTGCTTTTGATTGTCCTTAGAGATCTGTCACAGGAGATATATATTTTAAGGGCATAATTGAATAAATAAAAAGAAATAAAAATCAAAGTAATGGAAAGAATGTGTGTGGCTGTGTAACTTACTCCCTACGTCCCTGAAAATTCTTTCTATGTTAGTTTGGATTGGAGTTTAAGAAAGTGAGAATAAAATGAAAATGTATTGTTGTGGTTGAGTAAGAAAAAGATAAATGAATGTTAGCCACACAATACTTTCCAAAAAGAGAAATGAGAAGAATTTTTTGGAACATCTCAAAAAGATAATTGAGAAGAATTTTCAGGGACGGAAGGAGTATATTTATTGTGAATGAAATTAATAGAAGATAGAAATATTTGTTTTTCAAATAAAAATAAGTCATAGAAAGGGTGCACAAACTTGTGTATTTGTATATTTATTGTGAATAAAATTAATAGAAGATAGAAATATTTATTCTTTTTCCAGAAGCTCCTAATTTTCATTTCATGAACTTTCCTTTAAGCCCAGGGACGGATCTAGGATTTTGAGTCAAGGGGGGCGAAAATTTTCGTTAGTATAGTAGATAAAAAAATTCGCTAGTGTAGCGGGGCGAGTTTTTTTGCTAGTGTAGCGGGGTGAAATTTTTCACTATATATCATTGCGGCTATTTTAATTCAAAAAAATTTCATTAATACATGCATGACGACATTTAAATCTATATATTACATTCTAAATTTAGACAATGATAAAATAACTTTAATTTTATAATTGGAGTGCTCTAGAAAAAAGTATTGATACATTAAAGCGTAAGAAATGGCAAATCAAAGGAAAATAATATAAAAAATAAAAAAATGATATATAACATTTTATTTAAATATAAAGAGTTTATAAGGTACACATTCATCAATAATTTTAAAATAACTTCAACATTGTTTAACTACACGAGTCTTATAGAAATAAAAATTAATTTTTGAATTACAATTTTTGTCTACCATGGAGAGTGTTCATAAGTCACAATGAGTTTTTTTAATATTACAATAGTATGTATGATATTATTATTTTTAGAATAATATTATATTGCTAATTCATATATATAGTGCATATTATATTTGTATTAATGCTAAAATATTTAAAGTTTATTATCTATGCAATAAAGTCTTCTTAGAACGTAAGAAGTAAATGAATTGTGTAATTTAATGTCAATAAACATTTATAATTTGGATTCACTTCACATGATCTAAAAACTTTGTAGCTAGAGTGTCTGGTATTTAATATAATTTGATATATATTTTTCAAAATTATATTGTTTACTGGTTATCTAATAAAGATAATTAAACATTACAAAACTAATAATTTTTATATAATAGGTATCCTAAATCTTAAATAATGAGGTGTTCTATTGTTTATTTAAGTTATGTAAATGATTTTAGACGTTCCTTCTTTTAAATCTCCAATTAAGTATTACATTATGTAAGACTATATATTTATTTTAAAAACTAAAAGTTAAGGGGGGCAATGTTCAAAAAAAAGTTAAGGGGGCGAATCTAATTAAAGTATCAAAATTTTACAAAAACATATGTATTACATATATAGTAGAAAATTTGAAAGTCCAAGGGGGGCGGTCGCACCCCGTGCCCCCCCTTAAACCATCCCTGTTTAAGCCCCAAGCACCATTTGCAATGACACCATTGGGCCAGAGTGCACGAATAGCTTACAATAAATGCAGGCGTCATTTACAACAGTGATTGAATTGAAAAAGAGGGTTGACACCGAGTTACTACAATAGTATATACTATTGATCAAGTGCAATATGATAATTATATTTTCATTGATGAATATTACTACTATTGTAGTTACAATACATAATTGTAGATTTATTACGTTATGTTACTACGTATTATAGGCCTGAAACAGTGATCGAATTCAAGGTGTTAGTGACTAGAGAGAGAGGGGGCTGGAGAGTGCGCAGGCTTGGGTTTGGAATTTTCTTAGGTTTTCATAAAACTGCTTTTGTAGTTGTCAGCAGCAGGTTTTGTATCGGGAAATTTGGTTTAAGTACCTCATATTTACCCAGGTGACTAGTAAGATAATAAGGAAACCATATGAGGTGCAAAAGTGTAACAAAACATTGGTCAGTCAAAGAAAATGAAGCATTTGGTGCAAAGTAAGCATGAGGTGGAAATACAAATATCTCTTTGATGTTCTGGAATACTGAGCAGTAGTAGCATGTTAGTGCTAATAAAGATGGTGTCTATAGTTCTAATTGAGAGTTAGAGACCCCACTAGCTCTAAGAGTAAAGACTACAAAAGAACTAAGATTAAAATGCTTGAAGAAGAGCTTTTGAGAAACACTCCAAGAGCCTGAAGAGGCCCTCCTGCAAGAATAGTACTTACCCCCAGGGGATGCCTTCGTGCACTGGGCTGGTCGTTTTAAGTGCCCCAAATGGCGATGTTCGGATGGTGTTCGGACCCGGGGCTGCTGGACAGGAGAACCCCCCATCTCTCTCTCTCTCTCTCTCTCTCTATATATATATATATATATATATATATAGAGAGAGAGAGAGAGAGAGAGAGAAGTTTAGGTCCGGAATTCCGGGCCAGAACCGCCGTTCCCGATGAAATTGTGATGAAATTTTTTAGGCATGTTCTTCATCTAGTCTAGTTTATCCACAAAAAATTTCAGTTAAAAATTCAATTCGGAAGGCAGTCAAATAAATTTTGAAAGATAACTGCATTTTCATATGTATATTTTGGCGTAGTTATCTTCCAATAATTATTTGACTGCCTTCCTGATTGAATTTTTAGCTGAAATTTTTTGTGGATAAACTAGACTTGATGAAGAACATGCCATAAAAATTTCAATAAAAAAAGCCACCGGGAAGGGCCCCAAAAGCCGTCGGCCGGACGGCGGTTCTGGTCCGGAATTCGGACCTGAACAGTTGTCTATATATTATTACTCTATATATATGTGTGTGTAATATATATAATGAGAATTCCTAGAACTTTTAATCTAGCCTTTCATTTTATTCAACCATTAGTTAGGATACATATCTTCTCTATTTGGCAAACAATGTCACCTTTTTTATTCTGGTCATTGATTTGAAATTTTAAAGGTGGACACACACACGTGTGTATATTATATACCTATGTGTGTTTATTCATTCTCTGCCTCTCTCAGTTTATGATGGTTTTGTCTACAGGGTGGAGACAACAGATATGAAATGTTTAAAGAAGATTGAGGATCATTAACCCATGAAAAAAACCATGAGAAGATCAATCCTTTTGCAATCATATTGTGAAGATCGTTTTGAATCATTCTTTTAATTACGTGGTTGCTTTATTGTACTTGTATACCAAAAATTAAACTCTTCGATCCCAAGATTGTTATCTTGTGTTAAGGTGGTCTATTTAACTATTTTACAGAGTACTCCGTATTGTGTTAAGGGAGTCAACGATTGTACCCCCAATGCAAGGAATCATGGATGGACTCGGGCCGGGTGGCCTGACCCGGAACCGGCTCGGCCCGACCTGGTGACCCGGTCAGTGACAGGTCCGGGTAGGCCCGACCCGTGGGTTTTCCGGTCCGGGCTCGGGTCACCCAAAACAAGGCCCGACCCGCCCGGGCCCGGGCCCGGCTCAGGCCAAATTTGATTTTTTATTTTTTTTTATTTTTTTTAAATTTTCGGGTTGGGCTGGGTATTTTGGGCCATTTGGGGTGGTTTGGGGAGTTAGGGGTGGGAGGGGGGTTAATTAGGAAGAGGGGGAAAAATTGATAATGGGCCGGGCCCGGTTGGGCCCGGTGGTTACCCGGGCCGGTCCCGGTTGGGCCCGGTGGTTACCCGGGCCGGTCCCGAGTCCACCACTCTTGAACCGCCGGCCTGCCCGGGCCTAGGCCCGGACTCGAGTCCACCCCTACAAGGAATATCTACGTATCTTCAGGTCTAGAAAAGAACATAGACACGGACCATTACCAATAGGGGTGGATTGGATCGGGCCGAACCGGCTCGGAACTGGACCGACCTGCTTCTGTGCGGCTCGGCCTGAATTGGGCTCGGATGGCCGGTTCTCGGCTTTAGCCCGGTTTGGGCGGTTCTGGTGGGCCGGTTCTGGGCCATGATTTTCATGAATCGGCCCGGGCAATTCGGGTCGGGTCTGGACCGCCTGGTTCAATTTTTTTTCATTTTTTTTTCTTTTCCTTGGGTAGGGCTGGGTGTTTTGGGGAGTTTTGGGGGTGGGGGGTGAGGAAGGGGGGTCGGGGGTTAATTAGAAAGCCAAAAAAAATTACATAGAACCGGGCTTGGCCCGGCCCAGCCCGACCAGGTTTGGCCCGGACCCGGTATCAACCCGGGCCAGTTCTGGGCCTAACATTCTGAAAAAAAGCCCGCCCGAGCCTAGGCTCGGCTTCGAATCGGCCCGGCCCGGGTCCACCCCTAATTACCAACCCTTATACTTTATTCTTAAATGATATTGCTGCCTTTATACAAAAAAATCCAATTATGTGACCGTATGCGTGAATGCGTCGGTGAAATAATTTATTGCTCTAAATACGGTTATGTTTTGTATATCTACATATGAAAAAAAGAGTTTGATGAATCTGTTTTGTGTAAATATTGTTACAAATGATTATGTATAAAAAATGTGTTACTAATTAGTAGTAGGGATGGACTAGGATGGGTCGGCCTAACCCGGACTCGGTAGTGTTTAGACTCAGCTCGGCCTGCTAATATATAGGTCCGGTCTCGGCCCGACGGCTAAAGGGCGGGCTTCAGGCTCGTTTTTGGGCTCGACTGCATTATTTTTTTAATTTATTGCCCAATCTTGTCCCAGAGCTCTACTCTGGGCTACTCAACCTGGTACTGTTTAGGCCCAGCCCGGTCCCGGTACAAACCCGGGTCCGTACTAGGCTTGAAATTTTTACGCCCGAGCCCGCCCAGTCCTAGCTCGGTCCATCCCTAGTAATAGTCGTGTGTATTGACTCCTTTAAAAAAGTTGTGTTTATTGCCATACGGAGCATAAGTAAGGGTAACATTTCCAAATAATGTGAAATTCAAAATATGAGTACTATTAAGTAGGGATGATTGGGACGGTACAGCCCGACTTGGGACTCGCCCCTGCCCGGTACTGTGCAGGCTCGACCCAGCCCGGTCAGCCGGGACTGGGCCCATGAATCGGGAGTAATTGGGGCGGGCTACGGGCCGAGGAAAATGTGGATCGGTTCAGGCCCAACTTGTTTTTTAATTTTTCCATTGATTGGCTGCTAGGTGGGTGGGACTGGGTTGTTTGGGGGGTGGGGTAGGGGGTAGGAATAAATTCGTAAAGACAAATTTAAAGAAATATACTTTGTGCCGACCCGGCTCGGTCCGGTCCGGTCTCAGTACAAACCCGAGCCGGTACCGGGCCTGAAACCCAAACTTTTAGTCCCGCGAATCTGGCACCACTTTCCCTAAATAGGCGTCCTTGTCCATCAAGGTTGGCCAATCAGGAATCGACAACCCCAAATCCCGATTTTTACCAAGGACGACAGATCAACGGAGGAGCAACCATCGAAGACGATGAAGAAGCTATCCGATTTCAGGCACAACGACAGAGGGAGGGCGGATGCAGCAGGAGAGCGGCGGGGATGGAGAAGTCTAATATGCGTACATAGGTGGAGAAGTGGTCTGCTCTGCATACAGAGGAAGAAGAAGCGTCGCGGAGGAAGGAGAAGCGCATAATAGGTTGTAAATGGGCGGTCATATTTTTGTCCGTCTAAACTCTAAAAGCAATATTGGTCATTCTTTCTACTATTAATAGGCATTCTAAAATTATAGGCATATTTTGTCATTACAGAACATTGATATGACAATATTAATATCATAATTATCAGTATTCTGTAAATAATATTTTTTTGAATTTCAGTTTGCACTTTGTACTCCTATTTTTTTTTAAATTTCATTGTTTGCACTTTGTTCCCCTATTGAAGATGCACAATTTTTAATCACTCTGCTGCCCCTTTGAAACAAAAATGGCTCGAAAATAGTATCATTGCTTTCCCTGTATCAATATGTGATTGGATTTAAGATTTAAACGTAGTCGTTCTGAAATTCCTACAACTGTTATAATTGCCCTTAAAAAAAAACCGTTATAATTGCATGTTCTGTGAGCATCCTCAATATACTGATACAACATAGGTGCGCATACTGGAGACGCAAGTGTATTCATTTCATTACTTGTTTACAAATTTGCTTGTGAAATAATAGAGTAACAATATAGGAAAAGTCCTACACTCCTACTTTTGGTCTTTAATTTATTATATGTATATTGTTTTTTTTTGTAAATGAGGTCCCTTAAATGTGTAATTTGTTGTAATTATAACCCTAGATGTAGAGGTGGACTTGGACGGTCCAGTTCCGATAACGGTCCAAGACCGTTTGGGTTCCCTCACTCTAAACTGTGACAGACCTGAGTCGTTTCTAACCTATTCTGTTTGAAAATTCTTTTTTTGCACGACATTTGTACACTTTTAGCGTATACAACCCTTATTTTGACTATATACTGTTGGGAATATTTTATGGTGTTCAATCTAGTTAGTTATATTTGTATTTGTGTAGTTATCAATTAAACGTGTAATACGGGCCACAAATGTGTATCAGCCCGGGGGCTTCCTTGTAACCCGTAAGTTAGCCAACTTCTCCTATAAAAGGAGGCTAACTTATGGGAACACAAACGATCGAAAGAGGCTTAGAGACGCAGAGGTGTAAAGATAGAGAGAGATTAGGGTTGCCGCTGCTCTCCTTCTCCAGGGAGAGCAGCGGACAGTTCATACGGTATACCAGATTTGGGTTTCATCTTGTCGATTTCTTCCTATCTGTTTCTTTATCACTGCTATGGTTGTATGATTGTTAGTATTATGGGATTAACATTTGGTATCAGAGCCGAGGCGTGAAACAGGTTGGATCTATCTGCGATTTTTGGATCTAACGAAGAACTGCTCTGTTTTTCTTCTGTTTTTCTATATGTAGAGATTTGCTCCTGTAATCTCGTTTTTGAACGAAATTTTGTAAAAATCATACTGTTGGACTCGTCTTTCAAAACCGATCCAGCAGCATACCATTTTTTTCGTTTTCTGCAATTTTTATATTTCAAAGATCTCTACTTTGAGATCTCGAAATCCTTATTTTTCACTGCTGCAGAAACGTTTTTGGCTTGAAACTGATACAGGAGAATCTCGACTTTCAGGGCTATTCAGAACAGGTTCCAGATTTTCAAAAATCAATGTTTTCATCTTGCAGGATCTCGACATTTAGGGACTCGATTTCCTCTTCTCGACTTTTGAGATCTCGAGATTTGAATCTCGAAATCAAGATCTCGAGATTTGCATCTCGACATCTTGATCTCGAGATTGAATCTCGAAATCTTGATCTCGAGATTTGCATCTCGACATCTTGATCTCGAAATCAAGATCCCGAGATTGGAATCTCGAAATCATGATCTCGAGATTTGAATCTCGAAATCAAGATCTCGAGTTTGACATCTCGAGTTTTGGAATTTCGAGTTTAGGAATTTCGAGTTTTGGGATTTCGACATTTGGGATCTCGATGTTTTGGATCTCGACATTCTAAAGATTTCGAGTTTTTTTCAAAATTTCTCGATGTTTTGAATCTTTCAAAGTTTGCAGTTTCTTGGAACTCATAATTCGAATCTTGACATCCTTTGCAGTTCATCGAAGCTTTACATTATAGGATTTCTGAATGATTCCCTGCTGATAAATGTTTCAGGAGTTTTCGATGTTCTGATGTTTTTCAAACAGCAAGTTTTCGAGATTATGAGGTTTTCGAAACTCCAAAGTTTTCGATGTTCCAAACATTTTGAAATTCTGCAGATTTCGATATTCTGAGGTTTGTTTTGCAGGTGGATTTCACCATTATTCTTCGAGGCAAAACTCGAGATTGTAATCTCGAGATTTAAACCTCGAGATTGTAATCTCGAGATTTAAACCTCGAGATTGTAATCTCGAGATTTAAAACTCGAGATTGTAATCTCGAGATTTAAACCTCGAGATTAGGATTTCGAGGTATTGCCTTAGAATTTTGTTTAAAATCCACCTGCTCTCGATATTCAACATTGAGAACCTCATCTTCGAAGAAATTCCTCAAAAACTCAAAATTAGAGATTTTCTACGACACCGCACTGTTTTGGCCATAACTTTTGACTCGGTGATCCGATTTGAGCAAACATTTTTTTGGCCGAAAGCTAACGAAAAGATCTACATTAATTATCGGGCTATGCCCCAGAACCCATTCTCACGCGCCCTCACTCGCAGTCCTTGAGGGTCAAAACGTTAGTTTTCCGACAAACATTGTAAATCACCGATGTCCAGGTCAAAACTTAGGCAAATCTGTTCAAATTCTTTCATTGTCAACCCTGAGGTCAAAGCTTTTCTAAACTTCAATGTAAAGGTCTGAAAATCGTAGATAATTCAATCA